CCTTAGCCGGTTGAGCTATAGGCGCCGAGCCGGCCATTCGGGTTCTATCCTAATAGTATTCTCTTCTCAGGTAACAAAGCTGGGCCCCGTGTTTCATTGCTCATGCATTTTTAATGTTTCCTCCCCCATCCCAGAGCACAGCAAGACTTGGAAAACCCACCCCTGTCTGCCTGCTTGGGAGAGACACAGAAATTGGCACTTCTCAGAGCGAAGCTGAGGAAAGGGCTGTCCATCAGTCAGAAAAGTCTCAAAGTGCTCCTTCAGCCTGAGGAAAGAAGAGATGGCCGCTGGAAGGAGGTGAACCCCACGAGGAAAGATGGCTTCTGCCCTGGGCCCTGCCTAGCAGCAGCTTGAGTTCCTCAGCTGGCTGGCGGGGATGTGCCACTAGACCACCATGGATGGAGCCCACAGTGCTGCCCTGCAGCTGCAGCAGCTCCCACCCACGAGCAGTGCCATCTCCATGAGCGAGGGCTCCTTCTCCTACAAGGCAAGGGCTTCTTTTGCTTTGGAATTTCGTATTTTTCTAATAAGAAAGTAACACCCTGCCGCCCTGGTTAACAGACACCTCCAGGGTCTGGGTGCCTGTCACTGGCAGAGAAGGGCAGGCCCTCCAGGCATACAGGGAGATAATGTGATCGAAAGGAAAGAAATGCTTGTTGAAATACATAAAAATGAGGGGGACATTCTCGCTTAGAAGACTCAATTTTTTAAAAGTCACCCATTTCATTCCTAGAGACAATCTCTGTTCGTATTTCAGTATATTTCCTTGCCTTTTTCTGGTATCACAAATTAGAGGTCACATGCCCATAAAGTTTTGTATCTTGGTTATTTTACTCAACCTGACATGTGGAGTAATTCCCCAAGTCGTTGAGTAGTGACTGAAAGCATGCTTTTTGGGGGGGAAAAAAACACATGCTTTTTGAATGAATTGCCAATAATCAGTGGAGCTTCTGTAACAAAATGTGCTCAACAGCCCCTTCTTGTTGGATTTTTGGATTGTTCCTACCCTGGGGTGACTGTGATCAGTGAACAATCCAGTGTGCAAATCTTTGTGCTTATCTCTGATTATGTCCTTATATATAGGTACAATAAACAGGTCAAAGGGAGTGAACTTTTTCTTTTGAGACAGAGCCTCAAGCTATCCCCCTGGGTAGAGTGCTGTGGCATCACAGCTCACAGCAACCTCCAAATCCTGGGCTCAAGTGAGTCTCCTGCCTCAGCCTCCCAGGTAGCTGGGACCACAGGCTCCCAACACAATGCCTGGCTAGTTTTTGGTTGCAGCCCTCAGTGTTGTTTTGGCAGGCCAGGGCTGGATTCGAACCCACCACCTTAGGTGTATCTAGCTGGCGCCTTAGCTACTTGAGCCATAGGCGCCAAGCCGGGAATGAACCTTTTCAAAAAGAGGAGTTTTAATGTCATATTTAGTCATTTCTGAATACCCATCAATGCATCATTTGAAGGCTTGGCTTGATTGAAAATAATGTTTTGTTGTTCAATTAGAGACTGCTAATACCCTAGCACTGAAGTAGACTTCAGAGGCCATCTCACGAAATACTCAAATTTCATGCAGTGGCAAAGTGAGGCTGAGAAATGAGAAGAGACATACTTAAGATCATATAGCGAGTTGAGAGGCAAAGCTAGAACTATTAGTTCTAGGTAATCATTATGATAATAACAATGACTAGTATTTCTTATTTATTTATTTATTTATTTTTAGAGATATAATCACACTCTGTCCCTCATGGTATCATGCCTCAAACTCTTGGGCTTGATTGATCGTCTTGCCTCAGCCTCCCAAGTAACTGAGACTACAGGTACCTGCCACAATGCCTGGCTAGTTTTTCTATTTTAGTGGAGATGGGTCCTCACTCTAAGTTGGGTCTCAAACTCCTGAGCTCAAGCAGTCCACCTGCCTCAGCCTCCCAGAATACTAGGATTACAGCCACTGCGCCTGGCCATAACTAATATTTTTTTTTTTTTTTTTGAGA